GATCACCTACGTCGCCAATTGTACCAACTTCCGGCGACTGCTTCTGAACAAGCACGGAAGGCCGGATATCGATATCGACAAAGAGATCAGGGAGAATGCGGATACGAGACTTACTTATCTAGGCTACCGCAAATTTCTCGAGTCGGATTTGAAGCACATCTTCGCGCTTGGAGAGAATCGCGGCAGCAACCAATACAAGAGGGACGTCAAGTATCTAGCCAAGCAGATGCTTTTCAGAGGATACGTAAGTTCCGACAGCCCTCGCACTAGTGGCTGAGCTATCGGACACTAACACCAAGTACAGGCTTACGCGGGAGCAGTCAAGGCGGCCTTCCCAAACCACCTGAGGTTGTCGATACACGAATCAATAGGCGACCACAAGATCTCGATAAGTCTCCTCAACACCAAAACGGGCTACACTACACCCTGGCACTGTAGCGTAGCCATGCTAGCCGACGGGGAATGGGTTAGCGCCCCCAAGGGCGAGTTCGAGAAGGACCAGCGGCTCGAGCTCATATACGAGAACGGGCGGCCAAGCTACTTCAAGGAGAGGAAACTGCAACGTGCCGATATGCCGTGGATCAACGAGGCAAATACCAGCTACCTGCAGGCTCGCAGTCTGTTTAACGGCACGAAGAGCGGATACTCATCCCCGAGCGCAATGTCGATGGCCAGTGGCGCCTCGACACCACCCACCTCTTTCGCACAATCACCACCGCGATCCCCACCACGTTCTTCACCGAACATGAAGACTTCGGATTCATCATATACGGACGCCACTGGAGGAGAGCCGGACTTCGGTCGCCGCCTCATACCTCGAATCATGGACCAAGTCGCGAGAGATCACCCCAGCCGTGTTGTCTTCTCGATAGCAAAGCCTTCCGGTGCAGGTCTAGCATACCGCGACATATCAGCGCATGCGTTTGCGAAAGCCGTAGACAAGACAGCTTGGTGGCTCCATGCCCAGATCGGCGAGTCGGCATCCGTGCGGCCAGTAGGCTATATCGGGCCACATGACCTCCGGCATGTCCTCCTTACATATGCGTGCGTCAAGGTGGGCTACGCCGCACTCAATCTTTCGCCCAAGAACAGTGTTGAAGGCGCCCTGGCTGTGCTCGAGGCCACCGACTGCGACATTTGGGCCAAAGCAGGCGAAATACCAGCAGTACCTCTGGTAAAGAACTTTCTGGAGAGGCGTTCGATGAAGTTGTTGGAGCTACCACTCTTAAACGACCTCTTGGATGCGGAAGACACCAAGCCGTTCCCCTACACCAAAACCTTTGAAACTTCGGCTTCGGATCCCTTCTGCTATCTTCACACATCGGGCTCGACAGGTGTGCCGAAACCTATTCCATGGTCTCACAGCTTGATCGGAACGATGGATGCAATTCGCCTACTTCCACCTGTCGACGGCGATGAGGGGCTGGTACCCTGGACTTCGGACTGGAAGGAAGGAGACCGGATCTACTCTTCCTTTCCCATGTGTCACGGCGCTGGCATTATCATGAACATCCTGATGCCAATATTCTTCGGTCTACAGGTTGTCATGGGGCCAACAAACGTGATACCCAACATGTCGCTGGTCGAGAACCTCGCCGATAGCGCAAAGATAGACATTTGGAGTATGGTGCCATCACTTGTCGATGAGCTTGGAGACACACCTGATGTGTTGGCCAAGCTCCAGCGATCCAAATTCATCTGCGCATCCGGTGGCCCGGTTAGCCCGATCAGTGCCGGCAAAGTCAACGACGTCATCAGAGTGCTCAATTTGACGGGAACGACGGAGGGTCTCTTCATCGGCAACCTTTTTGTTGACAGGGAGGATTGGTTCTGGTTCGCCTTCCATCCCTACTCCGGATTCGAGTTCAAGGAAGTGGAGCCGGGTGTCTATGAGCATTGGGTTCACCGCAACGAACATTCATCCTTGTTCCAAGGCATCTTCCACACATTCCCGGAGAAGACATCGATCAACTTCAAAGATCTCTACAAGCAACATCCAACCAAACCCAACCTTTGGGCATTCACGGGACGCAACGACGATCTCATTGTTCTGTCCAACGGATACAAGATCTTACCTTTGGAGTTCGAAGCACTGGTTGGTACCCACCCTGCGATCGATGGTTGCCTTGTGGTCGGTAGCCATAAGCGCCAAGCAGGCCTGCTCATCGAGCTGAAGGACTCCGTGGCCAAGAGCGACGAACTCATGGACAGCATATGGGCCAAGATCGAGACAAGCATGTCTTCTGCCCGACACACAGTCAACTTGACACGCGACTACGTCATATTCGCGCAACCAGACAAACCCTTCGTTCGGACAGATAAAGGGACTGTCAAGAGGAAAGCAACAATGGCGCTGTATAGCGACTATATCGAGCGATTCTACAGTTTCCAGAACGAAGAGAGGTCTTTCTTCGTCGATAGTAGCTCCACATCAACGTTGCAGCAGTCTGTCCGAGAGATACTCGCATCCTCTCTTCCAGCCGCCTCCAATGCCACTCCAGACGATGACCTGTTCGCTCTCGGTCTGGATTCTTTGGGAGTGTCTGCAGCCGTTACTGCCATTCGAACAGCTATCACGGGCCTGGACAAACTTGCGCCCCGTCATCTCTACGCCAATCCAACCCTGGCCAAGTTTACCGCCGCCCTCGAACCATTGATCGCTGGAGCGAAGAACGGTGCCAGATCAGGTGACGATCAAGAATCGAAACTGCAGCGCATGATCGCTCAGCGAAGAGCGTGGCAGTCCTTCCGGCTGAATCCCTTCGACTACGTCAATCCGAATCACTACATGGGCCTGGTGTTTTACTTTCCGCTACAGGGAGACGCGTCATTCGAGGAGACGTTTGCGAACATGCAAGCTGGACTCAATCGAACGTTTGAACTCATACCAGCCCTCGGTGGAAAGATGATTCGCTCTTCCAAGGACGAGATTGCACATGCGAACGGGGACCTCACCGTTGCCGTGCCACCGTTTGGGCAACCGGCTCGCGATCGGCTGGTGTACAAAGATCTATCTGATGTGCTGCCGACTTTCGAGACTCTACGAGAAGGTGGTTTCGTACCTTCTGCCTTCAAAGACGAGTTGGTCCTGCGACAAGACACCTTCCCACAGCTACCCGCAGACATTCTTGTCGCGCAAGCCAACTTCATCCAAGGCGGTTGCATCCTCGCCATTGACCTCAACCACTGCTGCCTGGATGGCGTAGGTGCAATCATTGCCATCAAAGCGTGGGCCGAGAACTGCAGATACCTGCAAGGGGACTCATCAGCAACATGTGCGTGGTACGATGCGGAGAGCTTCAATCACAGCCTTCCCGAAGTACTGCATGAGTTGGAAGGACATGCGCGCTCGGTAGATGAGATCGACCCTGATGTCTGGGGCTTACTTCCATTTGTTCCCACGGATGAAGTCCTTGCGCAACATGCTGCCAGAGCATCGGGACCTCTCGGCCGACCGCCACGCTACCCGCTGCACTCGGTATGGCCTTTGCCGGCTGCAGAGAAGAAGATGGATACTACTCTCTTTCTGATCCCACCCGAGAAGGTCGAGTTGCTCAAAGCGGACGTCACAAGCGATCCGGTTGCGAACGGCGTCACCACATCTATCAGCGATATGGTACAAGCCTTCTTCTGGCGCTCTGCATTGCGAGCTCGCCACGCTGTAGCCAAGGCCAATGGCCAACAGTTCAGCCCTGAAGACTGCTCCATTCTCGAGTTGCCAACGGACGGACGACCCTACTTCTCCTCCCTCTTACCAGACTCGTACATGGGCAGTTTACTCACGCTCAACCGAACAAGCATGCCAGTCGAAGAACTCTGCGCCTCGACCACGAGTATTGCAAGTATCGCGCAGATGCTGCGTGCTTCTGCTGCGCGCATGACGCCAGCACTGATTCACGATGCTTTTACCCTCCTACAGTCACTGCCAGATCACAGCAGATTCTCCACAGCCAACATGGGTCTTGACCATATGCACGCCATGATCTCCAACATGATTCTCTTCCAGATGAACGAGATCAGCTTCGGTGACGTCTACTTCGCCAACGGAGGTTCGCCGGAGACGATGAGGCCACAGCTAGAGCGTGGAAGCGGGCGATTCAGGTTCTTAGTGGTGTTCCCACTGAAGGCAGATGGTGGCGTGGAGTTGGTGCTGGGCACGTTTCCTGAGGAGCGAGAAATGCTTGCACGTGATGAGGAGTTCACTAGATATGCGCAACTGGTTGATGTCGCTGCTTGCTGAGGTAGGTAAGGCTGAGCGTCTTGAAATGGTTGTGGGGGAGTATGGTAGCTATCGCGCGTATAATTTGACTCCTTGCCTTATTCGAGCGCGCGCAGTGTTACCTTCGAATGCAGCGTCAACGCCTGAAAGATGCAGCCGCACTCACCGCTCAGCACCATTAAAGGAATGGGCAGGTTCGTGCAACAAGTCTCCGTGAGCATGATCTAGCCTCCAAACGCATGTCAGCCGTGCATCTTGAGCCCCCACGCTTGCGCATCAGCAGGGTTCAGGGTTTCGGGCCATAACGATCGCAAATATGCTCTTCGCCCAGCCGCTTGTACCACATGCATGTCATGCTCGTGTTAAGCCGTCGACTCGGTGAAGGTGACAAGTCAGTTTAGCTCAAGAAAGCGTGGCTTTCTGACCTGCATGGTTGCTAGGACTATCAGCGGCTGGGCTGTGGGTGTACTCAGCCGCGAAGTTGTGTCTACACAGTCAACCTAGGTCCCGTCGATACAACCATCACGATCTCTCGAGACCGCAATTCTGCGACATGCATTCTTCTCGCGCGTCGATCGAAGAGCCTCTCCTCTCTCCATCCTCTTCGACATGCACATTTGCTGAGCCTACAAAATCCAGCATCGACGACACCCACCATACCCACCTTGAAGACCCACCAACCAATCATGACACCCCCTCCACTACAGTCCAACCGGGCGTCCTCGCCATCGAAGCCACAACACGCGCCTGGACAAATCACTCCCTCACAACAGCCTACATAATGATCTATCTCATCTACTTCGTCGAAACGCTGCTCGCCGGTACAACAGCAGCGCTCATTCCATACGTCACATCCGCTTTCTCGATGCACTCGCTCACGCCCACCGTTAGCATACTGAGCAACGTCGTCGGCGGCGTGACGAACCTGACGATCGCAAAGATCATCGATGTCTTCGGGCGACCGCATGGCTTCATCCTTTGCGTGATCTTCGGTACGATGGGATTGCTTTTGATGACTGTGTGCGAGGGCGTGGGAATGTATGCTGCGGCTATGATATTCCATACTGTGGGGAATAATGGCGTGCAGTACATCTTGTCGGTATTCATCGCCGATACGACGAAGTTGGAGAACAGGGCGCTGATGCAGGCGCTCATGAACTCGACTGGCCTCATCACAGGATGGGTCGCTGGGCCCTTGGCGCAAGGGTATCTGAACGGCCTGGGGTGGCGGTGGGCGTTTGGCATGTTCGGCGCACTTGTTCCGCTTGTTACGCTGCCGCTGTTTGGGCTGTTGGTGTGGAATTATCGGAAGGCGAAGAGAATGGGACTTGTGCGTGAGCGCAGCAACCGTCGTAGTACTGCGCAGTCCGTGGTGCACTACAGTCGGGAGTTTGATGCGATCGGCTTGAGTTTGGTCTCGGTGGGCGTTACACTTTCCCTGCTGCCGTTCAACCTTCACACGTTGGCGGGCAAAGGTTGGGCATCGCCAATGGTGGTCGGCATGTTCGTAGTCGGCATTGGTCTTCTCATCGCATTCGCATTCTGGGAGAGGAATCGTGCGACAATTCCTCTCCTTCCATATAATTTGCTCATGGATCGAACCGTCTTCGGCGCATGTCTGCTATGCACCTGTCTCTTCGCCAGCTATGCCGTTTGGAACAGCTACTTTGGCTCATACCTGCAAGTCGTGCAAGGCCTTAGCGTGGAAGAAGCGAGCTACGTCGCGCAAGCCTATACCGTGGTCAGCGTGGTATTCGCGGTCTTGGCCGGCTACGTCATTCATCGCACTGGCCGCTTCAAAACCGTATCGCTCGTCGTTGGTATACCGCTCAGCATGCTGGGTCAGGGTCTCATGGTCCTCTTCCTCGCTCCGGGGAACACCGGCTATATCATCATGTGCTTCCTCCTTATCTCCGTTTCACAGGGCGTCCTCGTCGTTACGGATGAGATCGCTATCCTGGCCGCAGGGTCACAAGAGCATGTCGCTGCAATGCTCGCTCTTGTTAGCATCTTCGGGAACATCGGCGGGGCCATCGGTTTGACCATCGCCGCCTCGATCTGGTCGGACGTGCTTCCAAGTCGACTTCGACAATATCTGCTTACAGAAGAGTTGCCAAACCTTGACAAGATCTTTGGAGATTTGGCGATGCAGCTGGCTTATCCGCTCGGGTCGCCCACGCGCATCGCTATCCAGCATGCATATGAAGACGCGATGTCTCGACTTTTGCTCGTGAGTACGGGTATCTGGGTCCTCGGCGCTGTCGGAGTGTTGATGTGGCGGAACATCAACGTGAAGCAAGTTCAGCAGAGCAAGGGCCATGTTTGGTGATAGCGACGTTGTAGGAGCCGGGATGGCATGTGGTACCTATAGTAGATCAGAATGAAGATTGATACAGAGTCGATGTTGCGCAGTAGGACGCATTGACGGGAACAAGCGCGTGCGTGCCGAGATTAGAGCAACGCCAGCCTCTCGTTTAATCGTCGGAAATAGATGCTCCGTGATACGGCTTTTTGGGGCGTAATCGACGTCCCGAGAACCTTTTGGTACTACCCTCACGACAAAACGCTTCACGAGAGTTTGCGCCTGTCGATTGGACTTACCCTTCACCAACTGTCGATATATAACTCCTCGACTTTCGAGGCAACTTACTACCCAAAATCCAACAGGAAGAAGCAATGCAAGAAACCCGTCAGCCCCCGCAACCAGCGCCCGACGCACAGACATTTGCGAGGCTCCATTGTACCAAAGTTGAGACCTCGTCGATACGAATCGAAGACCGCACTTGTTTGCTTTGCGACACAGAATATGACGACCCTAGCCCTGATGAGGGAAGCGATCCCGAGCACCCTGTGCAAATTGACTTCGGCGATTGTCACCACGTCTTCGGCCATCGTTGCCTGCGCAGGTTGATCGATGCCCGAACTGCGTGGAGTAACAAGTGCCCGCTATGCCGGACGCAGTGGTTTGGCACCATACCTGTACCTTTGCGCCCAGATCAAGTCATTTTCTACATCCGAGCAAGAGAGCCGGTATATTCTCCCTGGCCGGAGCGCCGTCGAAGGGTGGAGACTGCAGTAAGAGCTCAAGCTGCGCGACTGCTTGGAAGGAGAGACAGGGACGGGGGTGGCAACCAAGCGGATGCATCGCAAGTTGCAGACCTTGAGAGATCTGAGGGACGCATACGGCCAGACAACCGTCACATCTGGTGAGGCCGGCGAGGTTCGAAAGACTCGCAAGATCTGTGTGAATTACTAAAATATGGAAGGACTGGCAGTGCTGGATGTCTTGTGCAGGCGCCCGAGGGCGGGTTCACTCGTGAATCGGACGACGAATATGACAGGCCGCTTCGGCTACTCGGTGGAAGGATGGACGTTGGTGCGGAGAACTGGAATACCATGGTTGTGTTTGTAGTTGTCTCTTTGTTTAGCAGGCTGGTCTCTCGTGGGGTACTATGTGCAGATGCTGCGGAAAAACTAGATCCCCTGATATGAGTATTTTGCTGTCGGCGGTGGAGTCGCGTGCTTGGAACGGGTACCAGAATAAAGAATGTTGATGCACATTCTATTGGAAGTCGTGGATTGAACGCGTGGAAATCATTACAATATCTCCGTACGTGACCGCGTTTTTTGAAGGCTTGATGTGAAGCACGAAGCAATGTGTAAGTACTCTTTGCAGGACCGTGGTTTCTTGCTTCCTTACCATACCTACATACGTTGCGCAATCCCGTCAATTAGCTTCTTCAACATGTCCAGTCACCGAGCTGAACGACGCATCCGCGAGTACTTATCGCATCTAATACCCGTGCCACTGAACGATTTATCAGAGAGTGATCGGATATGTACGTTGTGCTACGAGGCCTTTCCCCCGCTGGAGGAAGGCGGCGACTACCCAGTCCGTGTACGCTCCACCCACGCCAACTCGACTTGTCGGCATGTGTTCGGAAGAACGTGCATCGAAGAGCACCTGAGCAGCGGCAGAGGCTATAGCAGGAGATGTCCAATATGTCGCGAGAGCTGGTTTGGCGATGCAGAGGACGAGGCCGACGAAGAGCCGGAAGAGTCTGCAGTAGCGGCAGCGCATAGACAGAGGAGTCAGTTTCGTGCGCCTGGGGAGACGCCGGAGGATCGGCGAATGGAGCTTATCTTTGGGTTGGAAAATACGAGTGAGCAGGAGCGTCAGCGGTTCTTCGCATCCGTGGGGCAAACTCTACGTGCTATGCCATCGGCAGAAGCGGATGCCCAAGCAGCTATCGGCCAGTCGGTTCAGGCGATTGCTGACGCCGAGGAAAGCTTGCGCGTGATCCGCAACATCCAGGCCGATCGCGCATCGCCCCCAGCCGTGGACATGTCGCAAGGCGTGCGTCGTGGCAGCGCAGAAGAAGAGGACGAGGAAATGGAACGGCGATTGATGCAGGCGGAGCTGCGACACGCCAGGCAGGCGGTTGATGCGGGCCTACAACTCGCCGCGGCGGTTAGGGCGAAGAGGGTATCACGTGAGGACAATGAGCGCTCGTTGCAACGAATGTCCCAGCAGGGACGAGGTACCGCGCCTACATCGCGACACAGCGGCGCATCGCCTAGGCGCGATGACTTCGCGACTCTACCGAGTGCGGGCCGCATGATGCGAACGATGGGATTCTTGGAGCAGCTTCATCGAACGGAAGAGGTGATGACCGATAGTTCAGACATAGCGGAGAGGATGGGTGATGTTGAGCGAGCTGTGGACGCTTTGTGGAGGGGTGTTGACGATGATAGGCGGCGGCGAGGAAACATTCGGTTCGTGCGTCGCGACTCTTGAGTGGCTTCGAAACAATAGGGTTCATACCCTTTAAGTAGATCAATGCAAGCATCTACGACGTTTCGCTGCCGTGATGTGAAGATGGAGTGAGTGTGTTTGGGCGGCGATATCTCTGGGATCTGCCCGGAGATCGTGACTATCTCCGATGTCGCGCTAGTCGCGTCTGATTCTTCACCCACCAATTGCGCCGACGCGACCATCGTCAAACGCGTTCGGAAGCGCGCAAGCTCTGCAACATCGCCTATATCTTCCAGCCGTAATACCCAGGCTGACAGTTTAGAACACCATGTCGCGCCCACAAGCTGATGATGACTTCAAAGGCGCCACCGATCGCTTTTTGGCGTGGTTCAAGGCTGGCGGCGGTGTCTTCCGCGACGACCTGCTTGAAATTCAAGATTTGAGAGATAAGGACGCGGGCCGAGGAATCAGTACGCCTTCCAAACCCCAGCAATGCGTGGAATTATGAGCACTGATAGTGCATAGTTGCGAAGCAGGATATACCCCAGGATACGACGCTATTCACCATTCCCAGAGACCTGATCATTAGCGTAGAGACTTCCGAACTTCCTGGTAAACTGCCTGAAGTTTTCGACGCGTTTGTCGGCGGTGAAGGCGACGATGAGAAAGAGCCTCTCGACTCATGGACATCCCTCATACTGGTCATGATGTACGAGCATCTACAGGGCGATGCATCACGCTGGAAGCCATATTTCGACGTACTACCACGGACGTTCGATACACCCATCTTCTGGTCCCAAGCAGAACTGAAGGAGCTTGAGGGAACTTGCCTTTCGGTCGACAAGATCGGAAAGCAGCAGAGTGATGACATGTTGAGATCGCGCGTTGTTCCTGTCGTTGAGGAAAACCCGAAGGTCTTCTATCCGGAAGGGGCTTCAAAATTGAGTAGTCAAGAACTTCTTGATCTTGCGCACCGCATGGGCAGCACAATCATGTCTTACGCTTTCGACCTGGATAACAAAGACGAAGAGTCCGACAACGAAGAAGACGGATGGGTTGAAGATCGTGACGGCACCACTCCTCTTGGAATGGTACCCATGGCAGATATACTGAATGCGAATGCCGATTTCAACGTGAGTCGTATGCCAGCGCGGACGCACTCTTCCGTGAGCTAACAGACCCCGACAGGCACATGTCAATCATGGCGACAGTCTCGAAGTTATGTCGCTTCGATCAACTCTGCCAGCTGGGTCGGAGGTCCTCAACTACTACGGCCCGTTACCAACGTCGGAGTTATTACGTCGCTACGGCTACGTGACACCTGAACACCAGCGATATGACGTAGTCGAGCTACCCTGGAGCTTCGTTCGCGCAGCGCTCATTGAACAGCTCACAGTGGCGGAAGAGGTCGTTAGCAAGGTCGAGGTACAATAATAGCTGTCACACTCCCGACGGGCGCATGAGCTGACAGTGACCCAGGCAAAGCTTGAAGAGAACGAAGAGTTCGAAGAGTACTTCATCGTCGAGCGCGACTCCGGCGATCCAGATTCGGAAGGGCAGCTCACGTATTCGGCTCAGCTGCGCGAAGTCTCTGTTGAGCTGGAAGAGCAAGTAAAGGCTGTGTTCAAGGGCATCAAGAAGCAAAAGCCAGAGCTCTTTTCGGAGAAGCGGAAGCGCGTCGACGACTACCAAGCAATCGTATCGAAGGCTCTGACTGCAAAGCTTGGGACGTATCCGACGACCATGGAAGAAGACGAGACGCTTCTCAAACGTGACGACCTAGCTAAGCGCCATCGCATGGCGATCACAGTCAGGCTCGGGGAGAAAAGGCTGCTTCATGAAGCTCTGGCACTTCTGCAGCGGGGCGACACGGATAATGTCGCAACCCAGGTCGGCAAGAAGACGAAGCAGAAGGCGTAATGTACGTATTAGAGCGATAGAGAAGGCGGTACCCACGTCGCATTTGCGCCATCCACAAACACACGAATCGAACTCCTCATACTTTATCGCATCCCGGTCAATCTCGCGCTAAATATCCTGTTGTCGCCTGCTACCGCCTCGCAGTACAAGCATCCATTCACAGCGTCGCATGCCATGCAACGCGGTCATCACTGAGCTCTGACTCCCGAAGACACTCGCTACGCGCGTATGCTGCGACCGCGACATCCCATCGAAAGCCCCCACTCGCAACACGGTATCTTCAATAGCCACTGTTGTCACAGCACGAGAGTGCCGCCACGTCAGAGTGTTCCCGATATCGATGCTGTACTTCACCGTCGCAAGGCTCGAATGACCTTGCGCATTGCATACAAGCAACCTTGGGGTCGTTTATCTCACGCGAAACCATCACTCTAGCCCGCCATCGATCTCCGTCACAGCCACGAAAGATTCGCAATATTCACTCACTCGCGCCGCGTCACATAGCGTCGATGTTGACCAGGCTAAGCGTCACATCGACAACGCGCGTGTGGTGTTCACGTTCGGGATTGACCACGTGTAAAAACGCTCGCTACCCACGAGGGACGGACGGACGTGAACGAATGTGGCACGTCAGAAGCTGGGCACTCTCAAGCAACGTGCGCGAGGGCGCCAGAGATGGAAAATGCGCATTGCTTTCATCTATGAACGCGAATAACTCACGGCCACGCGTGTTGTCATGGAGCCCTATAGCCATCGATGGGTATGCAGTATTTCGCGCATCCTCACCAACGCGACATCGAAGTCTTCCAGCTCGCGTCTCACGCCTTCATCACTCGTCTCCAGCCTCGCCAGTCTTGTGAGCGCGCCATCCACCGCCGCGAGCATCTCCGTCCGCCCACCATGTGGTGCGGGGAACCACTCTACGCGACACATCGGACATGTATGGCTCCAGGGGTGGCCGCCGCGAATGTGGCTTTCGATACACCGGCGCCCGAAGATGTGCACGCATGCGCCGCGGTTCTGGACCTGCACCGGGTACTCATCATCGACGTCGTCGCCGGTTCGAGAACGCGAGCGATCGTTGGGAGGCTCGGCGAATGGTCGATGGCATATGCAGCACTTGCGGTCACTTGGAGCGTCGTTTGGAAGCGATGCGAGCGCGATAGGGATGATGTTGGCGGTGAGGAAATGAGCGATCTGGTAGTCTTGGATATGTTGCGGCATTGTTTGTGGGACTGGGAATAGTGCTATCGCGAGGCGATCGCCGGAGAACAGTGTTTGTAAAATGAAACTCGTTCGCGCTTCACGTTGCTGTCACTGTAGGTCTGAATGCAACGGGTCTCCTGTCGTGAAGAGATACATATTTATCGCGTCGCTTCACGCGACAGCATTCTCGCAACGCATCTACTCTAACATGTTGCTACGCGACGCGCGTGTCTGTGACGTGTGCCTGTGTAACGCATGCTCTTGCGACGTAGAATCTCGCAAAGTAGAGCTTCGCGATATAAGCCTTCGTAACAAGAGCTTGCAATAAAGATCTTCGCGAGTAGTGTAGTATAAGAACTTATTAGATAGATATAGAACGCATTTAATCTACCTATAAGAAGGTACTTAAATCTACCTTATATTACATTTTACTCTTACTATTATTAGAAACCTAAATAGAGTATTTTTAGTAAGTAGTTCTAGGTCTAGTAAACCTAGAAGTATTAACTACTAGATTTATCTATTAAAATCTAATATAAATCTAGATAAATTTAAGCTACTTTACTCTTCTAGCTTTACTAGAAAGTAGTAATAGAATTTTTTAAGGTATAAAACTACGCTAGCCTTTAGACTAGCACTAACTATTACTATAAACTACTTATTAGCTATAAGCTTACTTACGTAAGCACTTCTATATACGTAACGTATACTTTATATATTATATAATTATCTAAAGTTTTAATATTTCTTACTAAGGCTTAAAGTAGTAACCTAACGTAAGTATTATATTAACTTACTATAGTAGTTTATAAAACGCTAACTCTCTATAATAAAGTTAGTAGCTATAGCTAATAAAAGAGTAGCTTTAATCTACTAATAGAAGTATTTACTTCTATTCTATATACTCTAACCTAAATAGTTTTTACTTATAGGCTACTTTATAATCTACTTATAGAGTAATTATTATATTTATAAGTCTAGTAAACCTACTTATATTATAAGTACTTTTTTACTTTATAATACTTATAAATTTATAAAATCTATTTCTACTTTTACTTATAAATCTAGTAAATCTATTTCTTTCTTTTAGTATATCTATATATAGTAGCTATTATTATTAAAGCTTATATAGTTATTAATTATAAGTTATTTTACTAGAAAAAAATACTCTAACTATTTAGTATCTCTATCTAGTACTACTAAGTAGTATTAAAAAGTAAAATTTTAGATTTTTATACTAATGCTTTCTTACTTTAGTTTTTAAAGCTACTACTTAGCTATATACTATCTATAAAATCTCTTCTACTCTAAGCTTTATATACTTACTTTTATATAGTAGTTATATCTTATAGCTATATTAAAGCTTAGTAGTATAATAATACTAGTAGCTACTATATTTATTTTAAGCTAGTTAATAATAGCTACTTTATTATCTTTTTTATTACTATTTATATTTTTTTTTCTTTTCTTCTTAATCTATATTTATATACTTTACTAACTATATATATTATAGCTTACTCTAGAGAACGTGCTTAGGGCTACTAGCTCTAAGCGATTTTTAGTAGTACTAATAAGAACTAATAAGGAACAAAGAGTAGAACTAAAGGCCTAGCTCTAAGCTGTTACTAGTAGCTATCTAAAGTAATATTAGATATTCTAAAGAGGCTATTTTGTGCAGAATTGCTGTGCAACTCTAAATCTACTCTTAAATTATCTGTAGCTAGTTAAAATAAAGAGTTATATAGGCGCAAAGTTAGAAAGTTAGTTTTAGTGTTCCTTACGTAACTATAGCTGTACAGCTACTGTAGAAAGATTCTAGCTATACTATTTTAATTAGAATTATAGCGCAAATCTAACGCTGCGTCTTACTTAGCTCTAGCGCGTAAGATAAGCAAGATATTACGCAAACAAAGTAG